AGTGTATTTTTATATACTAAAATGAAGCTTTAAAATGCTATTTACAATAGCACAGTGAGCACATCATGTCCTCTCATGCCTCCTTGCCAGTGCACAAGCTTTTCCCCCTACGTGGTTGGAATGCCTTTCCATCTACTTCCACATAACTGTTGAACTCCCACACTTCATTTCAGCCAGGCTCTGTTCAGACTTACCACAGTATCTTTAAGCATTCTTTCTCTCCTTCCCTGAGTAGTTTTCAAACTTGAATTCACCAATAAATTATTTCCTTTAAAAAAAAGTAACACTCAAGCCAAGTGTATAAAATTGATAAAAATGGAGCTTTTTTATTGAGTCAAGAGTAGAGAATGAACTCAGAGTCATGACTTCCTAAAAATATTTCCAAAGTAGACTGAAAGTCATTCATTTGATTAATGTTTTTAAGCACCATAATATCCACAAATTGCTCCCATTATCAGCATCTTAAAAAATGAGATTTCTCCTACCTTAGAGAAAATAAGTCAGCAGGCAGAAATTCTTCCACCTCTAAATTAAAATTATTTGCATTCCCATCTTTCTGTAAACTTTTTTCTCGCTCCTAAGGTTAAGGTTAATCTCTCTACCTATGTTCTAACTGGAATTCCCTCATAACATTTTAGAAAATTTGTTCCACCCAGTGGTCTTAATACACCTTCAACACATGTATACATTATTGCCTCAATTATTAAACTAGAAATGCTTGCTAAATTATTTTCTTCCCTTCATTTAAACTTCTTGAAACACAGTCTCTAACAGCCTACTAGTTCTACCTTTCTATAATAATGGTCACTGATAGTTTGGATATGTTTGTCCCCTCAAAGCTCAAGCTGAAATCTGATCCCAAATGTGGCAGTGTTGGGAGGTATTTGTGTCATGCGGGCAGATTGCTCATGAATAGATTAATGCCCTCCCTGGTGGGGGACCCTGCCCCCCCCCGCCTCTTTCTCTTTCTCTCTCTCTCCCTCCCTCCCTCCCTCCTTCTCTCTTGCTTCCTCTCACCATGTGATCTACTTGCACCTTCAGGCTGTGCTGCAACTATTAGCCTGGAACGGAAGCAGCCTGAGGCCTATGCCAGATGCAGCTGTCCCAGAATTGTGAGCCAAATAAACCTCTTTTCTTTATAAATCAACCAGTCTCAGATATTTTGTTACAGCAACACAAAAATGGACTAACACAATCATCTGGAGTAATCTGGCTTCTGTTCACCTCACTTCACTGAAATTGCTCTTGTCAAAGTCTCTAATGATCTCCTTAGCTACCAATTTTCTCATCATTTAATGTGTGGCACCTGACACTACTGACCATCTGAGATTCATTTCTCCTTTGGGCTCAGTGATATTGCTCTTCTGGCTTTTCTCATACCTTTAGGGCCACTCCTTTTCTTCTTAGTTCCATTCCATAACTTCTTACATATTGATGTTTTCCTGAGTTTTATCCATAACCCCCTTTTTTCTCTAGTACACTATTTTTAATCTATACACTCTCTTGGCCAATTTCATGTGTCATGGTTTTCATTATCATAAGGAAAATGAAAATAGTTTAAAAATAAAACAGCTTAGTCAGGCTCACTTGCCTCATATGTGTTACAAATAGGCATGATTCAGCACGGTTGTTAGAAACAAGTTATATAAGAGTAGTGTAATTGCACATGTGTGCCCATTTACTGATTCAGCATGTCTGCTGTAAGTACATTATGCACTTGGCTTGTGGCCACTATTGTGTACAGAGAATACAAAAAGACAACTTCTCTGAACTGCTGGTCGGCAGAGCATGGAGGGCCAGCAGAGTGGAGGCAGAGCTTGTGCCTGAGAATAAAGCATGTCTGTGTAGTTTGTACCTGCAATAAAGTATGTCTACCATGCCTAAAGCTGCCAGAATCTTCTTTCAGCTACCTAACTCATGACCTGTACAGGATGGAGCAGAGGGATCTGTGATCCCAGCACAACAATTACCAACTATTATTTTAATTACTGCTAATTCTAGATTTCCAGCTCAAATTTCCCTTTCAGATTTGCATGACCCAATTTAATATGTGTAAAATAAAACGTGTACACCCCTATATTGCCTGTCTGGGTGCATTGCACCATTATTCATCCAAGTAAATAAGGCAGAAACCTGAGAGTTAACCTACCTTTCTTCTTGCCCACCTCCCCTGATTATTTGATTACAAAAACTACACCCTATCTATTCTTATTAATATTTGTCACATATTCCTTACCCCACTTTCCCTGCTTGAGTTGAAAGTCTCATTCACCGAGCATTCAAATTACTGTAATAGCTTACACTTCTAGGCTTCAGTCTGCTCAGCTGCCTTCAATTTCCTAAATGCATCTTGCACACACTGTTGCCAGAAGTTTCCCTTACTTAAAATCTTTAATTGGTGCCATAAATTTTAGAATAAAATTCAAACTATATACTATGACAAATAAGCCTTTGTTACCTAGCCTCTGCCTTCTTTGTGTATTCTTCATTACTTCTTATAATAGATTTTCTACAGATGTGCCATGCTGTCACCCACCCACCTACACCCTTGCATATGTGGTTCACCCTTTATAATACTCATCTCATTTCCCGGAGAATTCCTTTTATTCTTCCAAAACTGAGTTCAGCCATCACTGTCTCTGGGACATTAGCTCTGGTCTCCCCAGGCTCTCTCACTTAGCCTCTATTCCTTCTTTCTGCATCCTGTGCAAGTGTCTACATTTGTGTTCTGCAATACATTATAATCATAACTTTACTTCTCTGTGAAAACCACTTTAACACATTACCGGAAACTGGGGTAAAGATCACCCTTACTATGAACTGGCAAAGAAGTTGGCTGTATTCTGTTCATGCCCCCAAATTTTATGGAATTCAGTGCTAACCTAGGGTATTTGGTGGAAATTTGTAAGCAGCAAAGCATAAAGGAAGCCGCATGGCTACTTTTAACAGCCTACACTGAGTTGTGGTGGCAAAAGCATGACATAAAGCCAGAATTTAAAAGGGAAGCAGAGCATAAAGACTTGGAAAATTTGCAGCCTGGCCATGTGGTAGAGAAGCAGAAGGCATTTTCAGAAGAAAAATGCAATGGTGCTAAGAATATTTGCACAAAAGAGAGGGATTATCAAGAGAAGGGCTAAAGGCCCTGAAGGCATTGCAGAAGTTGCAGAAGTCTCTGGGACCAACCCTTCCATTATAGGCCCAGAGGCCTAGGGTGACAGAATGGTCTTGGGGAACAACCTTGAGGTGCCCTCCATGGGCTCACTGCCCAGGGCCACCTCAGGAAGCTGCTTCCAGCACCACCAACCTGGGTGCTTTTACTGCTCCAGCTGTGGCTAAATTGGCCCCAGGTGTGGCTGGACCTGCAGCTTTGAAAGATAAACGCTGGAAGCCTTTGTAGCATCCATGTGGTGTTAAGTTTAAGGGTCTGCAGAGTGCCAGAGCTGTGAAGGCATGGGAGCCTCCACTACAATTTCAAAGGATGGAAAAGCCTGCAGGCCCAGGAAGAGATCTATTGCAGGGGTGGAGTCACTGCATAGTCTTCAATAGAGAAATGCTAAGAGGGAATGTGGGGTTGGAGTTGCAGCAGAAAAACCCACCAAGACCATGCCTAGTGGAGCCATGGGAGCAGGACTGCCATAGAGACCCCAGAATTGTGGAGCTACCAGTGTGCAGCACCAGCCTGTGAGTGCTAAAGCATGGCCTTAGAACAGGAAGGTCATAGAAGCAGAGCTGCTCAAGGACTTTAGGACCCAATCCCCTCACCAGCATACAGAAAACGTGGAACATGGAATCAAGGTATATGATTAGCCAGTTTTTGAGATTTAATGCCTGCCCTGCTGGGTTTTGGACTTGTTTAGGACCTGTAATCTCTTTCTCTCAACCTATTTCTCCCTTTTTGAATGGGAACATGTACCCTACCTACAATTGTCCCATCATTGTACCTTCTAAGTAGATAACTGGTTTTGATTTCACGGATGGGACTTTGGACTTTTGAGTTGAATCAAGTTAAGACTTTGGGGGATGGAATGAACGTATTTACTTAAGAAGGATATAAACTTTGGAGGCCAGGGAGGAATGATAGATTGTTTCCTCCAAGCTTTATGTATTGGTAGCTTGACCCAAACTGTGACCATTAAGAGGGTGGGAAATCCTATTACGGTAATTACATGGTGGGACTTTGAAGAGGTGATTAAATGCTGAAGACTATGCCTAGCATATGGATTAAAAACAGTGGCTTTAAAAAGAGTAAATGAGGTTAGTTTCTCTCTCTGCCCCACCATTTTCTGCCACGTGAGACCCCGGGTCACCATCCCCACTGCTAAGGCCCTCATCAAATGTGATCTCTGGACTTTGGACTTCCCAGCCTCTGAAACTCTAAGCAATAAATTTCACTTTCTTAGAAATCACCTAGTTCCCAGTATTTTGTTATAACAAAAGAAGCAGACTAATACAAAGCTGCTTACTCATTTGCTATTCCCTTCAACCCACTTTCCTATAACCTCAATTCATGACTTCATGAAGATAGGGCCTGTTTCCTCCACATAATTTCAAGTGCGCAGGATAGTACCAGGCACAAACCTGCGCTTAAATATTTCAGTAAACCAGCTCTGATGTTTACAAATTTTTAAAAGCTTTTTCTTTGCAGTCTGAAATTCTTAAAAACTAGAAAACCCCAAGTGAGGAAAAGAATATTTTATTTATGAATTGATTCCTTTTCAAGACTTTGCTACTGGTGATAGGTTCTTTAAACTATTAGGATTTCTTCTGCAGTGAACTAAAAAAATATAATAGCTTTAATCTTGAAGTGATTGCCTAAGCAAACTAGATGTTTCTACTTAAATTACCTAACACTACTGCTCAGTTTGAATTCATAACAAACGTGTCTTCAAGGCAATAAAGAAAAACTAATTCTGAGAGAAAAACTAAGAATTGTGTAGAAAACATGGGAAATTCTTAGGTGTAGTTTGAAAATGACTAGAACAAAGGACGAAGAAAACAGATTTTTGTTCTTTCTCTTTTTTAATGAAAACCATGCACAAAGTTTAATAGTAGGTTAAGAAAAGGTAAATTCCAGATACTGAGAGGTAGTTCAGTTTGTTTTTATCTTTCATTTGGTCCTTTGCTCTAAAAATGCATATATTGTTAAGATCAATTATTTCGCTTGCTATTAAAATAATAGCTGTAATAAGCATGCTAGTGGCTCATATATATGGTTGGTGTTTTTTCTCATGAGAAATCCAGTAACCTTACACCCAGATTTCTCTCATGTTTACATGTTGCATATAGCACATAATGCTGTATAAGGGGGGGGGACCCACCTTTTATCTTACAAATGGCCGATATCAATATCTGCAATTGTAAGCGATCTGTCTCAGGATATTAAAAAAAATGACTGACAGGTATGAAAGTTTTCCCCATGTTTATTATACAGCCAAGGTATAACCTTGGGATATATGATGAGAACTAAAATAGTTTTCTCATATTCGCTATATCCAATAAATCAATCTCAAGTATGTATTCTCTGATGAACTTTGGTTTAAGGCTTTCACACATGCAAATTTACTTTCTAGGAGTCCTCTTCAATATGAATTTTATAGTGATTAGTAAGAGATGACCTCTGGCTGAAGAGTTTCCCACATGCATTACATTCATAGGGTTTCTCTCCAGTATGAATTCTTTGATGTGCAATAAGTGATGAGCTTTGTCTAAAAGTTTTCCCACATGTATTACATTTAAAGGGTTTTTCTCCTGTATGAATCCTTTGATGTTGAATAAGAGCTGCACTTTGGCCAAAAGATATCCCACACTGCGGACACTGATATGGTTTTTCTCCAGTATGAATTCTCTGATGATTACTAAGGGATGAGTTACACCTGAATGTTTTCCCACACTCATTACATTTATAGGGTCTTTCTCCAGTATGCATTCTCTGATGCTGAATGAGAGCTGAACTTTGTCTGAAAGCTTTTCCACATACTTTACATTTACAAGGTTTCTCTCCAGTATGAATTCTCTCATGAATAATAAGTGTAGAGTGAGAACTTAAGGCTTTACCACATTCACTACAATTATATAGTTTCTCTCCAGTGTGGATTATTCGGTGTCTATTAAGTCGTGAAATAGAAGTGAAGCCTTTTCCACACTGATTACATCTATACGGCTTTTCTCCAGTGTGAATTCTTTCATGTTGAATAAGAGATGCACTCTGACTGAAGGCTCTCCCACATTCACTACATTTAAAAGGTTTCTCTCCAGTGTGAATTCTCTGATGATAACGAAGGGATGAGCTAGACTTAAAGCTGTTGCCACATTCATTACACAAATAGGACTTCTTTCTGAGATTAATTCTCTGATATCCAGACAGGGATGTGCTACAACTGGATGGCTTCCTACCTGGATTATACCTATGGGGATATTCTTGAGCATGGATTTTTTGATGTATAAAGAGGCCAGACCTTCTGCTGAAGGATTTACCACATTCCTTACATGTATAGGATTTCTCCACAGTATGGGTTCTTAAGTGCTTACAAAGGGATGCACTATGGCTGAAGGCTTTCCCACATTCTTTACATATAAAGGGTTTCTCTCCAGTATGAGTTCTTTGATGTTGAATAAGAGCAGAACTTTGGCTGAAAGCTTTCAAACATTCTTTACATTGAAATAGTTTTTCTCCAGTGTGGTTTTTCTGATGTTTACGAAGGGATGAATTGTGAATGAAGGCTTTTTCACATATATTGCATTTATAGCGTTTCTCTGCTGTCCTGATTTTTGGTTGGCCATGTGAATTTGAATTCTGCTTGAAGGTATTTCTTTGTATTTCACATTTTGAGAGTGTTTTTTCTCTAGAAATCCTCTGTTGCTTAACAAAGACTGATTTCAGGCTGAAATTTTGGCCAAATTCAATATTTTTAAGGCTTCTGTCTATAGTGAGGATTTGCGTATGGGTGATTGAAATTATTTGTAAACTGTCACTTTTGTCCTGCTGTTTCTTTATTCTGTCTTCATACATGCAGGGTTTTTCTAAAATGAAGTCCCAGGGTTCATTCCTTTTGAGTCTTTTCCTCATGAACCCCTGAAATGATGAATCTTGAGTTTGAGTTGACTTTGTGGTTTTAGGACAGCTCTTACATCCTGAAAAAGACAAAAAGAAAAAAAACTGCCAATGATTCATGTGATTGGCTGAGAGTAAATGTATAGAAATAAACATTAATGATATCTAAATAAGGATTTGCCATATGGCTAAAAGATAGATGCAAGAGGGAAAAAATAGAAAAATAACACTGCATAAAGTAATAATGGAGGATAGCTAAACTGCTAGAGTGAACAAAAGAATCAAGCAAGTTCATTTAAAGAGTGTTAGAGTGACCAGGAGAATGGAGACTGAAGCAAAGGGATTAAAGTGTATAAACTGGGAAATACAGTCTGGTAGCCTATGGTGGAGTCATAAATTACCTCATTTCTGCAATTATTTCTAATCTTGAATGTCTTTCCTTCTTTTCCTACATGCTAAATTCCTCTGCAGTCTTCAGATTCACTTCAGATGTTAACTCCTCTGGACACCTTTTCCTGACTCTGAGCTCCAAAAATCCACCCCTCTTATTATAGCACATATTACAGTACAATATATGCATGTAAGGAAATAATATATATCTAGAAACTCTGAAAAAGCCTTCAACAAAATTCAGCACCACTAATAAAAACATTCAAGAAAATAGGAGTTGAGGAATACTTCCTCAACATGACAAAATACACCTAAGTCTTAAAGCTACTATCTTATTTAATGAAGAAACACTATAGGTATTTCCACTATAATCAAGAACAAGGCAAGGATACCCATCATTTTCCCTACTATTCAACCCTGCACTAGAAGTATTAACCAATGTAATCAGGGAAGAGAAATCAACTAGAGACATAAAGATGAGTAAAAAGAATGATTACCTCTATTTCCTGATGATATAATACTATATTGGAAAAGTCCCAGAGAATCAATAATAAAACTCACTCAGTGAAGTAGCAGAATATGAAACTGACAAACTAAAATCAATAGCTTTCATTTACACTAACGAAGAATTAGAGGAATAAATTTACAAGAAATATAAAAAACGTATACAAAAAATTTTTTATAGCAATCTTGTGTGACATTAAAGTATACCAGACAAACAGAATGACCTCTTCTATTCTCAGACAGAACAAGTCAACATTACAAAATTGTCAGTGCATAAAGGCAGGATATAGATCAGAATTTCTCAACTTCAGCTGATATCCTGGGCCAAATAACTCTTTGTTGTTTGGGGCTGTCCTGCACATTGCAGGATGTGTAGTGGCATCCTGGCCTCTAGTGACTGGACACCAACAGCACCTTCCCTCACTGCCCCCAAAGGTTATGACAAGCAAAAATGTTTCAAGACAGTGACAAATCACCCCTGGTAGAAAACCATTGGTACAGATGAAACAAAAATGACTATGAGTTAACAACTGCTGAAACTGGGTGATAAATACGTGGGAATTCATTATACTATTCTCTTTACTTTTATATATGAGGGTACTTCAAAAAGTTCATGGAAAAGTAGAATTGAAAGATATGCATCTTCCCATAAACTTTTTGAAGTACTTTTAAACTTTTCCACAGCAAAACTAAAAATTAAGTCTTCTTTCACTTTCTCTCCTCCAATGTAACAGGACTGGGTTAACCTTTTTCCTCTTATAGACCATATGTACTAAAAGAGCTTCAATTTTTTTTTTTTTGTCTTTTTTCGTGTCCAGCAACGGTATTGCAACCCTCGGTGTCGCGCCCACACCTCGCTCAGCCAGTGAGCAGGAACCGGTCTGTATGTGGGATCCAAACCCTCGGCGGGAGCGCCACCGCACTCCCAAGCGGCGCACTGTAGCATGCACCACCGGGCCGGCCCAAGAGAGCTTCAATTTTAAAACTCTGCTTTCTGCAAACAAATTCTTTTAGGAGCGCCGCCGCGCTCCCAAGCGGCGCACTGTAGCAGTGCACCACCGGGCCGGCCCAAGAGAGCTTCAATTTTAAAACTCTGCTTTCTGCAAACAAATTCTTTTTAAAAATCAGTATCCAAAGAACAAGATCTTAAAAAATATATATTTACTTAAAAAACATACTTTCTAAGTAGAAAATTAAAATACTTATTGAATGATAAAACTTATGTTTAAAGAGTAAAAACTAAAGCCTTCCAGGTAGCTGAAGGCAATGTTGGATGGATGGTAAGCAATCTGTCAAATTTCTTCCCCAAACAGTAAGAAATAACTTCATAATTGTGAGACTTTAATGCAAGACCTCATTTTCAACATTACTTGAAGACAGAAAATGTCAGAATGGGGAAAAAAAAGAGCAGTAAAAGAGGAAAAGTACACATGAGGAAAATGGAAGTGCCAGGATTCTCTCTCCACAACCTAAACAACTGAACTCACAGAATCTTCCAGATATAACTATTTTGAAACTCTAGAATCTACATGAAGGCTCACAGCTTCTAAGTGAAGGCTTGGCCAGTAAACTGTAGTTAATTTCAGTCAGGAGGATCTACCCATTTCCCAGCCCATAGCCCCATGGCAGACAGCCATACTAGATTTCCTAGAGTGGCCCTTGGTAACATTGGCAATAAGGGCCTTGTTCTCCAAATCATGGGGATCTGGGTTCTAACTGTGAATTATTGCTTTGGATCATGGAAGTGCAGACTCAAAGGCAGGCTGCCATTGTTGCAATCCCCACTGGATGAAGTGCCTTCCAGGTGATTTAAAGGACAGTGCCTACATTTTTCCCTTTAATTTCCCCCATTTTTCTGCTTTGGGGTACCAGACATTTAAGGATAAGGACATTCAAAAACAACTATATTCCTGGGGGAATTTAGAGAGTAACTATGGGTGACCAAAGAAAGACACAGGCTCAGAAAAGACATGAGAAGACTTTGAGTTTATACCTCAGGCTGACTCCTACACCAGAGATACCATATGACAACAAAAAACAAAAACTAAAACAAACAAAACCTAGCAAATCCTGGGGAAGGGAAAGAATCTGATTCTCAGAGTTACAATATTATAAGATTCAAATGTCCAGTTTTCAACAATTAAAAAAAAAAAAAACAATGCATGAAAAAATAGGAAAGTATGGACCATTCAAAGGAACAAAATAGACAGACAGAAAACATCTATGAGAAAGAACAGATGGTGGCATACTACACAAAGAAACTTTTATAAAGATGCTCAGTGAGCTAAAGGAAAATATGGACAAAGTCAAGAAAATGATGCCCCCCCCCAGACATATAGTAAAGACACAGAAAACAAAAAAAGAAGCCGAAAAATTCTAGAGTTAAATGCACAATAACGGATGTGAAAAATTCACTAGAGGAATTCAAAACATTTGAACAAGCAGAAGAAAGAATCAGAAAACTTGAAGATAGAAAAATTAAAATTATTGGGTATGAGAAACAGAAAGAAAAATATTGAAGAAAAGTAAACAGAACCTAAGGGACCTGTAGGACACCATCAAGGCAGAATAAAATACGCATTGTGAACATCATGGAAGGAGAAAAGAAAGGGGCATAGAGAGTATTTGAAGAAATAATGGCTGAAAACTTCCCAAATTTGATGCAAGATATGAATCTACAAATAAAAGGGTACTTCAAAAACTTCACAGAAAAGTAGAATTAAAAGATAATATGAATATTTTCATGAACTTTTTGAAAACTCCTCATACAAGAAGCTTAACAAACCCCAAGTATGACAAACTGAAAGATACCCACATTGAGATACATTATAATCAGTCAAAAACCAAAGCCAGGGCCGGCCCGGTGGCGCACTGGATAAGTGCGCTGCTTGGGAAGCGCGGCGGCGCTCCCGCCCGAGGGTTCGGATCCCACATACAGACCGGTTCCCGCTCACTGGCTGAGCGAGGCGCGGGGGCAACACCGAGGGTTGCGATCCCATTGCCGGACACGGAAAAAGACAAAAGACAAAAAAAAAAACAAAAAAAAAAACCCAAAGCCAAAGTGAGAATACTGAAAGCAGTCAGAAGAGACACATAACATTCAAGGGATTCCCAATAAGATTATTAGCAAATTTCTCATCAGAAAAGGCCAGAAAGCACTAGGTTGATATATTCAAAGTACTGAAAGAAAAAAAATCCTGCCAACTGAGAATTCTATACTGGGAAACCTGTCCTTCAAAAATAAGGAAAACGTTAAGACATTCCCAAGTAAACAAAAGCTAAAGGAGTTTGTTACTACTAGGCCTGCCCTGGCAAGAATTGCTAAATGGAGCCCTAAAGTTGAAATGACAGGATGCTAAACAGTAACCCAAAGCCATATGATAAAACAAAGATTTCTGGTAAGGTAAATACATGGTCAGTATAAAAATCAATATTACTGTAATTTTGGTTTGTAACACCACTCTTTATTTTCTACATGATATAAAAGACAAATACATTTTAATAAAAGATTATCAGTCTACATTTTAGGCACACAATATATAAAGATCATTTTGTGACATCATTAATTGAAAGGGGTTGGAGACGGATCTGTATAGAAGCAGAGATTTTGTATGCTATTAAGATTAAAGTGGTATATATTAAATTAGAGTGTTATAAGTTTAGGATGTTAAATGTAATCCTCATGGTAGCCAAAAAGAAAATAACTATACAATATACATAAAAGGAAATAGGAAGGAAATTAAAATGTTTTATTATTAAAAAAATAAACATAAAAGGAGACAGTAACCCAGGAATTCAAGCACAAAATACATATAAGGCATATGGAAAACAAGTAGAAAAACTGTCCCCAAGGGCCGGCCTGGTGGCGCACTGCTACAGTGCGCCGCTTGGGAAGTGCGGCGGCGCTCCCGCCGAGGGTTCGGATCCCACATACAGACCGGTTCCCGCTCACTGGCTGAGCGAGGTGCGGGAGCAACACTGAGGGTTGCAATCCCGTAGCCGGTCACGAAAAAAGACAAAAAGGAAAAAAAAAAAAAAAAATTGTCCCCAAAATGATACACAGATTTACTGTAATTCCTATCAAAATCCCAGCAAGATTTTTTGTGTAGATATAGGTAAGGGTATTCTAAGATTTATATGGAAAAGCAAAGAACCTAGAACAGCTAAAACAGATTTGAAAAATAAG